CAGGACAGGAACTTGCCCAGCACGGATCCCTGGCACACAGCAGTGCCTCCAGCCGAGAGTGAGCACTCAGAGATGCTCAGCCGAAGGCAGCCCCGCCAGCCCTGTCTGCACCGCATGGTACAGAGCATCGTGGCCTGCACATTCAGGTCTGGGAGACAGTCTCCTTGGCAGGAGAGGGCTGTGGGTGTTGGCATCATCATCCCTCCAGAAAAGGCCCATGTGTACCCCGGAAGTGGACTTTGAAGCCTGTCTCTGTCAGATGTATCTCAGTGGGAAAGGCACTGGTTGCCAAGGGGTCCTTTGGTGGTGAATTGGTCCCCAGTCCATCTGCCAGATTGAATCCTGCCTAGTTTCTGTGGCCCAGCCCCAGCCCATCTCTTCTGGAAGCTTTTTCTCAAGGCTTCATTGATTCACTCTCTTCTGACATCCTTAGGAAAACAGTGGAGGGTGCTGTGTTCTTGTTTCTCCAGAAGACCCCCACAGATCCCGCCAGCTCTACAGAGGCATTAGTCACCCCTTGGTGTCCATGCCTTCATCACACCCAGGCATCCGGAGGGGCTGATGGGTTCTGCTGGCCAGTGGGTTGGGCCCTCTAGGGCTCCAGGCAGCCTCCAGCAGCATCCAGGGCAATGGTGTTGAGGGTCCCAGCACACACAGCCCCCATGATGTGGAAGCCTCAGCTCCCCAGTGGGGGAAGCATGCTGTTTCGCCGCTCTGCCCTGTTGCTCGCGTCTTTCACTCTCCCTGGAATGGATCCCGTACACTCATTCATTTCTCGAACCAACAGTGATATGTGCTTCTTCCATCGGCCAACACTTAGCTCAGAGACCTTGCCCTCATGGAGTCATGGAATTTTGCCTGCAAAGACAGGGCAGAAACCAGGCCCTGGGGGGCAGTACTGTGATCATTGGGTGCACAGACAGTAGAGGTGAGGACACGCGAGTCCTGGGCGGGCCACAGGGGAGTCCCGCCATTGCTCAAACCTCCGTGGCCACGCAGGACACTGCTAGTCTATGTGGCACCTTTGTGCAAGGTAGAAAAAGGAATTTCCTCTGGGCAGACAAATTAGCAAAAGCCTCTCGGGGCTGTGTGTTGCAGACTCGTGGGTTCACAGCTGGGTGAGCAAAGGGTACTCCATGGGCATCCACAGCTCCTGCCTCCCCAGGTGAGTGTCAGCCCCTCGCCCTTTGCCAGGTATCCTTCATTGCATACCACCTGTGGCCCTGCATGCCTTTCCCTAAGTGAAGCAGGTCCCTCAGAGCAGCTCTGTGGGCCATGCCTGGCTGGCTCCCCTCAAGCTGGTGGAAGGAGCCCACGTGTCCTCTGAGACTGTGCAGGGTGGAGCCCCCCAGCCCCCATGACCAGCAGGTGCCTCACAGACAGCTTCAACCATAAAGGCCCTGGGTCCTTAGTGTTCTTCAGTCGCTGAAAGAAGCAGGATGCTGTCAGCTGCCGTAAAACTGTGACCTTTGAAAATTTACAAGAGCTCAGGGTTTAAAAAGCTGCTGCGTTAATGATGCATTCCATTAGCATCTCATTAAAAAAAAGCCGAGAGAAGCCTGCTTCAGGCCCGATGATGGGCAGATAGGGCCACTCCATGGGGCCAGGCAGGGAGAGGCTCTCCTGGTCTGCCTCTCTCTGCCAAATGCCATCATTTCACCGTAGCAGAAGGCATAGCCAGGAACACTGGGAAATGGCCAAAGGTCTGGGTAGCTTCACTGGTGTCCCAGGTGATGGCAGTGGGAGGGCACAGGTGAGGCTCGCTCAGCTCTGCGTTCCTCCCTGCTGCCGGGGCTAAGTTCCCCTGGTTGGTTTTCATGGCATTCTTGTGTCAGCAGCCCCCTGGCCAGGAGACATGGAAATGGGGGTGGCCTGGGCTCGAGGGGATTCTGAACCACAGGAGGAAATAGTTAGCAGGAGCTGGGTTCAAAGCTGGACTCATGGACCTGAACATGGTCCCTAGAAGCCTCCAGAACCTGGGGACCACGTGGGTTTACTGAGGGCCTAGAACTCGTCACAGGACGGGCAGCTGTGGTCAGGCTGTGCTGATGCCATCACCAGCGGCTCTGCACGTCACCCATCTGGGGACCTGGGCTCCTCAGCAAAGGGCAATACCCTGTGTCTAGGTTTTTTCTGAAGGAAGTGAAGGAAGGAATGTCATTGCATTATTTTAATAAAATAAATAAAATTCCTGAACTACAGGTTGCTTGTAGCTTCAGATGTCGTGAGTGCTCGGTAAAAAATGGGTGGTCTTATGTATCTTTCCGAAAGAAAAAAGAAAAAGACTTTTGGTTCTCACCACAGTGCTGCTTTCTCATACACGAGAAATTGCTTGTAGTATTCATGAACGACACAGCCAAACAGCAGGCCGGCTGTAGCCCACTTCGCCGGCTCGCAGCGCATCTGGGCCCGCCTCTGCACACGCAGGACACCCCAGATTATTTCCCTCGAGCTGTTCGTGTCTTGAGTCATCCCGCTGTGCCGCAGCGGCCGCTTGAGGGCAGGGCCGTCTCTATCACCCGTGTCCCCAGCGCCTCCGGCAGTGCCTGACGCAGACCCACAGCCCCGGACTTGTTTGCGGAAGAAACAGAGTGAGCGGCTGGAGTGCTTTGAAGCCAAGGGCCTGAGCAGTCAATGTAGGAAAAGTATGAGATTTTTCAAGTTCACAAACTCCACCAATTTTAGGGTGACCGTTGGAACTCCTGAAGTTTTAGCGCTCAGAACCTGGGACCCAAACTCAAGGAGACCCCAGGCTCCTCTCCTGGAGGCAGTGGCTATTCCAGGGCAAGTTTCCAGAAGCTTCCCTACCCTGTCAAGTTGCCAGGCCAGAATGTGATTCGGGAGGGGAGACTCGGGGGGTGGCTGATAGAAGATGCTGAGAACCTCATCAGCCTCTTGCCTGGGATGCCTCCAGGATCCTGCATGGTGGAGAGGGGTTTCTGTGCTATCGGTGGAGAGGGGTTTCTGTGCTATCTGTGAAGGGGGTACGAGTTGGGAGGCTGGGATCGTAGCATTCACACTTTGCTCAAAAACCGGGCCCCATGTGGGACTTGGCACAGGCTTTGTCTCCCTCGGATGCCTCTGATTCCGGGAAAGCCAGTTCCCTGCCTCTGAGCCACCAGGACCCAAGAGCCTGGAAATACAGCAGAGGCTGCAGAGTGGCTAGATCGGACGGGGCACACGTTAAAGCTGTCTGTTTGGAGAAGGCTGGGAACACCATGCTGCTGTTCCCTAAGACTATTAGTGAGTGTGGCTAAGTCCCCAACCCCTCTCCTCCCAGCTCCTGCCTGTCCCACAGATAGAAATGGGGCAGGGCCCTCTGATAAGGAAGCTTGTCCCTTGAATTGTTCTTTTCTCAGGAGATTCACCCTTTTTCTTTGTTTCTTGCTCTGTTCACAGAAGCAAAGCATCTGAAATGCAGGCCAGAGATAAAGTGCAGCCTGACGCAATTAGCTGAGCACAGCCCACAGGTCCTAATGGGATACGACTCCTGCTCCTCCCAGCAGCAACTTATATAGACGCTGTGTGTCGTATTCACTGCACATCAAAGCCACCAGTGTGGCCCAGCCTCCCCATCCACACCCCCTCTCTGTCCCTGGCACAGAACCCAGGACAGCCACTCTGGTCAGAGGGGCTCAGCAGCGGGCTCTGTGTCTCACCAGCTGGGTTCCTGGGTCAGGTTTCATCAGAAGTCGCCATGAGGACCGTGGACCTCACTTGAGAGGCCTGCAGCTGCCCTGGAGGCCCCTGTGGCCTTCTGTGACTGTCCCTGGCAGGCCACCATTTCCACCCCTCACCCCACCCCACCCTTAGCCCCAGGCCTGGCTGGGCTCTGGGTGTACTCCTGGGAGCTGTGGTCACTCTTCCCAGGGCCACCTCTACTGACACCCACACCCCCACACGTCCCAGGTATCCATCCCAACCTCTCCAGCATGTTTCCAGGATTTTTTTTCCTTATTGTATATAATGGCCATAGGGAGTAAAAAAAATGGCAAATACAGAACAGTATAGACAATAAAATATGTTACCCATAATCCCCTCACCCAAGAATAACATCCCTGTTAAGATTTTGGTCATTTCTCTCTTGTATATATATATGTTGTTTGGCACAGGGATGTTTACATAGGGAGGACATTTGTGTGTCATTTTGTGGCCTGTTTTTCTCATTAAACATTATAGTGTAAGCATTTTGTCATCACACTAAGAATTCTTAGTATACATGATTTTTGACAGCTATATAATATTCCATTATAAGGCTGTGGCTCAGGGAGACCAAGGCTGTCCTGGTGTTTGTTTTCACCCTGAGGTTTATTTTTTCATCCATCTACAAATCTGAACTAGAGAGTGGGCTCATGGAGCAGAAATCCTACCTCCTTCCTGCACAGAGGCGCTGAGGGTCCCACCACCCACCTAGGAGCAGTATCTGAGCTGTCCCTGCGTGGGCCTTAGCTCCCGACTTCCCCTCACCTCCACCATAGGACATTTGGGCCTCAGAGGCTGGTGCAGGGGCAGGATGAGAAATATGTAAAGTACCTCACCTGTAGCCGTCTGGTGGCCCCTTGGAAAGCTGTCCTCTCCCGTGTCCAAGAGCCAACCAGTGGTGGCACAGAGTACCCATGTGCTGAGCCAGCACATGCCCTGATAAGTTGGTAGCATTGGTGTGGTTCTGGTTTGTGGCTGGTCCAAGGGCTGGGGACCAGCTATGAGCATTCTCATAGCTCAGAACTCTCTGCCTGTTGTGATAGGGCAAGTGGAGAGAGTGGCTACAGAGGGTGCCAGGGAGGCACTGGCTTGGGCATTCCTGGAGGCAGGAGCTTTGCAGAGGCCCCAGCTACTACTACCATGGCAGGATGCCCTGCGATTCCCACCAGAGACCGGGTGCAGGGCTGGGGCTCTGCCTCTGAGCCCGTGCTCAGTGGGCGAAGCTCAGACGATGGGAGTCTTGTTCTGGAGGCGGCCCCTGGCCAGGCTGTGCTCACCTCCTCTTCTGCTTCCCACAGGCTCCCGGCATCTCCAAGGCGGACAATCAGTCCCAGGGACTGGCGACCAGCATCCGGTGGGGGCAGACGCCCATCAATCAATCCACACCCTGGGACACCGATGAGCCACCCTCCAAACAGATGAGGGAGAGTGACAATCCAGGTGCGTACCTTGTCAGCAGACAGAAATGACTGAGCCCAGGGCTTGGCGGGAGCTAGTGGCTTCCTGGGGACCTCAGCTCCTGCACAGCAGGTCTTGATCCCAGAGCCTGCAGAAGCCCCCGCCTCAGGTTCAGGGGCTGAGACACTGTGTGTAATTCCCCGTTCAGGACCCGTCCCCCTACCTCTTTCTCTGCTACTCAAGGAAGGACTCCAGAGAGCAAAGAGAGTGAGAGTGACATTATCAGGGTGACTTTGAATTGGCTCCAGATTCTTTTGAATAATCATTCCCAAACCTGAGCACTCTGATTCATAACAAATGCCTTGAGTCATGCCATCCCATAAGGCTTTTTCTTGCCAATGGTTGTATGACAGCGGGGGTGTTCTCCCCTCGGGGACTGGGAATTCACCAGCTCGGACGACATCCCAGCCCTACTTTGGACAGCTCTGACAATAACAAATGGTCTGTCTTTTCCCTCCCATTGGCCCCAGAGCTCCCCCTTATGATACACAGAGCACCTCGGTTTGGGCCTCCACAGGACAGCCCTACAGGTATCAGGGGACCCCTTTCATCCCCCTCTCAAAGTCTTAGGATAAACACCCCAAGCCATCCTAGCCACGCCCCACAGCCCACAGAATCCAGGTCCTTTGCCTTCCAGGGACTCGCTTTGCCCCCTGCAGCCCTCTTAAAGTGCCATACCCAGAACTCAACACAATAGCCCAGAGTGGCCCACCCGGCATGTGCTTACTTCCGCACCTCCCTTCTCATCACTGTTCAGCTAGTAGCCACGTCACATGCTGCCTCAGCAGCGCCCAAGATGCCCCAGCAGCTACGGTTCCCCTTGTTCATGTCCTCACAGTCGGGCTTAAGCAGCTGGGTTTGGGGACCTGAGAGCAAGGCCTTATCAGTATTTCCCTATTTGCTCTTAGGATCTCCTAGACACCAGCTTCTGTTGCTGACCCTAACCCTCCCAATTATGTTCTCTGCAGACTTGGTCATATCTTCCACGTCATCATCCAAGTCACGGATTGAAATACTGGGAGTTGCCACATATAGTAGACACTTCCCTTTAGGTCTCTCATGCCCTTGGGCCATTCACCCCATCATAAGTAAATCACCTCCTGTGTCTCTGTGCCTCTGCCACAGAGTCCCCTGGGGTCCCACCCGTTACGCTCTGAGGGTCTGATGCATTTTTCCAGACTCCCTGGGTAATCCCGGAAAGAGCAGAGCTTGGGATGACATGTTTTGTGCTTAGGACACCCAGGCTGGCTCATAATGACACCACCTCCCCTCATCAGGCTTGGGGACAGTTCCCATTAGCAGTCCATTCTAGAAGCTTGCCATTACTTCATCCATGTTTACTGGCTTCCGGTCTCCCCGCCCTCTCTTGTTATCAAAATCATCACGTGTTGTTGCACCTGTACTGCATGCCCCTTGTGTGTGTCCTCGCGGCGCCTGCAGTGATGGTGCCTGCTGCTGATGAGGAAACTGGCTCAGGAAGGGCTTGGGCCCAGGGTCCCTCGGCTGGGACGGGGCAGACCCAGGACTTGCGCCATGGTCCATGTGACTCCGAGCCTTGCTCCTCACCACCAACCAGTGGTGCTCCCTTGGACCGTGGTCTGGTAGTGCCCCGCCATCTTGGCTCCTGCCCCACCTTGGCGCCATTTTCTTTCTGAGAGAGAACTCACAGCCCCACATTCTATCCTATGGGGCTTGTGGTGCTGCGTGGCCCCCTGTCCCCTCCTCTCCTTCCTCTGTCTCCCCATCTTCAGTCTACACTGCCACCCCAGGGCAGTTATGAAAGCCAAGGTAGCATTTGGGCCATGGAGATGTGGACCCAGGCTCATTCAGTCAAAGGCAACTCACACTGGCCTTCCCTGTCACGGTGTCTGCTGGTTTCCCTCACAAGCCCCCTTAGGTCACCTCACCCAGCACAGCTGGCCTTGCCTTTTGTGTCTGGACCTCACCTGGTTCAGCCAAAGTTTTCTTAAGGACTAAAGTGGGGTTCTATTTTTCTCCCAGGGCTGGCCATGCCCAGATTGCCTAATTAGCACAAGGCCCACCCTCTCTAGCAAGGCCCCACCAGGCTTTCCACAGGTCCCTCACCCAGGTCCCTCCCCTCCTGTGAGGACCATGCCCAGCCCGGGGCTGTAGTGCTCTCACTTGACGGCTCAGCAAACACCCCCGCCTCCACCACCCCCTTCCCCAGCCTCCCTCAGAGGCGAGACTGCAGAAAGGGAGGAGAGACCCCAGCGTTTACGGAGCGTTCACCACGTGCCAGACACTCTGCTAGTTTTGTTTTGTTTTGTTTTGTTTTGAATACATCTTCCTCATTCAGTTCTTCCCAGTAGTCCCTGAGGTAGGTATTGCTAATTCCATTTAATAGATGAGATGAATGAGGCTCAGAGGAAATAAGAACTAGCTGAGGCCAGGCACAGTGGCTCACGCCTATAATCTCAGCACTTTGGGAAGCTGAGGCGGGCAGATCACCTGAGCTCAGGAGTTCGAGACCAGCCTGGCCAACATGGCGAAAGCCCATCTCTACCAAAAACACAAAAGTTAGCCAGGCATGGTGGTGCATGCCTGTAATCCCAGCTACTCGGGAGGATGAGACAGGAGAATCACTTAAACCCAGGAGGCAGAGGTTGCGATGAGTTGAGATCGCACCACTGCACTCTGGCCTGGGAGACAGAGTGAGGCCCCGTCTCAAAAAAAATAAAAGAAAAACTTGCTGAGGCTCTTGGCTACTAAGTGGTGGAGCTGAGAGTGGAACCCAAGTCTCTTTGAAGGCCTCTGCTTCCTTCTGTCTGCCCTGCTCCCTCTCACGTCTCCCAGGCAGGTCTTGCTTCCTCCTCTGAGCCCCGATGGCTGTTTGTTCACAGCCCCCAGTACAGTTATCCCGGGCAGACATGACCACAGATTCTTAATTGGTCAGTTCCTGGACGCAGGTGTCTCATTCACCGCTGTGACCCAGCACCCAGTGCAGGGCCTGGGGTGGTGAGTGTTTGTTGAGTGAATACGTAACCGGCAGATGACGTGTCTTCCATCTCCCTTGCAGGCACAGGGCCATGGGTGACCACGGTGGCCGCCGGGAACCAGCCCACCCTGATCGCACACTCCTATGGAGTGGCCCAGCCTCCCACCTTCAGCCCGGCTGTGAACGTCCAGGCCCCGGTCGTTGGGGTGACCCCCTCACTGCCTCCCCACGTGGGGCCCCAGCTCCCGCTGATGCCAGGCCACTACTCGCTCCCTCAGCCACCCTCTCAGCCACTGAGCAGCGTGGTGGTCAACATGCCTGCCCAGGCCCTGTATGCCAGCCCTCAGCCCCTGGCCGTGTCCACTCTGCCCGGTGTAGGGCAGGTGGCCCGCCCAGGACCCACCGCTGTGGGCAACGGCCACATGGCAGGGCCCCTGCTGCCTCCACCGCCGCCGGCCCAGCCGTCCGCCACTCTCCCCAGCGGTGCCCCTGCCACCAATGGGCCCCCCACAACCGACTCGGCCCACGGGCTGCAGATGCTGCGGACCATTGGCGTGGGGAAGTATGAGTTCACCGACCCAGGGCACCCCAGAGGTAAGTCCTGCCACCACACGCCTCCCCACAGGCCTGCGTCTGCGCCTCCCTGTGCGGTCACTGCAACACCACCAAGACAGGCGTGTGCTTGGTGGCAGCTCCCTCTCTGACCTTCCCAACCCGGAGGCTGCAGTGGAGCCTCCGCCCGCCCAAGACAACGGGCCTGAGATGGGGGAGGGAGGGGGAACATGTGGAGGGCGGGACAAGGAAGGTGGGGAAATGCGCCTGGGTAAGAAGAGGGAGTCCGGGAAGAGGAAGGAAGGGAGAGCCTGCAAAGCCCAAAGCTGTCCCCCTCCAGCCCAAGCCCTGGCCATTCTCACCTCCGACCCCAAGGCCAGGCCAAGGTGCAGAAGGGTGAGAGTCATCCACTCCTCTTAGGACTCCACACAACAGTCCCCTTGGTGACCTTCTCCATGTTCCACCCATGAGGACATTCAGAGTATGAATGGTGTCCTTCCCGGGGAAAGCATCCTCTGTCGTGCCATCAGATGAGAGCAGTGCCCAAGGCAATTTAGTCAGGCCCAGGAGACATTCCCAGACCATCCTGAGCCACTTGAGTGTTTCATTTCAAGGACCCAAGGGTGGCTTTGTGAGACCTTGGGAAAGAGCACCTCCAGCCTCAGCCTTCAGTGAACCTTCTTCCCGTAGCCTCATGGGAGTTTCATTCCAGGGAACTCAAAGGTAGATCCTTCAGAACAGAGCCTCGGGAAGGATGCATGCCGGACGTGGTCCTAGCTGGACCCCCCAGCCTTAGGTTAGGGTTCTTGATGTCTGTGTGAGGGATCAGTCCAGGCTGGAAGGCAGAATGGGACAGAGGACCAGGGCATACACATGAGGCTTGCCGGGTTCCTCCCTTGGACCGTGGTCTGGTAGTGCCCCACCATCTTGTCTCCTGCCCCACCTTGGCGCTATTTTCTTTCTGAGAGAGAACTCACGGCCCCACGTTCTATCCTGTGGGGCTTGTGGTGCTGCGTGGCCCCCTGTCCTCTCCTCTCCTTCCTCTGTCTCCCCATCTTCAGTCTACACTGCCACCCCAGGGCAGTTACGAAAGCCAAGGTAGGTCTGCTATAGGTTGGCCTAGCCCTTAGCGCCCCAGACAAACCAAGTCCCTGCTCCTGCTGGGTGCAGTGGGGAAGGCTGCTGGGCCACGGCCAGGCACAGGCAGCTCCCAGTCAGGAGGGGGCAGGAGAGTCCACTGCGGGCATTCGGCCGCAATGGGGTGTCTACACCTCCTTTGAAAGAGGAGACTAGACAGTCCTAGAAAGCATGCATCTCTGGGCATAGCTTCCTAGACTTCCCACATAAAACCCCTCAAGATGGCATTTCGGGGGGCCCTGCCCCTCAGCAGAACAAGGAACCCCACTAGCCCCTCCCCTCTCTGCTCTCCCAAGTCTCTTTCTTTGTCATTTCAAGCAACTTGCAGGCCTTGTCAAGCATCCCAGCGATAAAGTTCGTGTCTGGATCTCTGCTGGGTTGATTCCCAATCTGACTGAGCTCTGACTGTCTTTGTTTTTGAAATCAGTACTAGTTTTAAATGACAGAATTATAGAAAATGACATCTAAATTCTGGGAAACTCTTGCTTTAAGATCTTTTTTTAAAAAAAATGACTAAATGGATTTTTTGTTTGAATTGTTTTGGTTAAGCTCTGTCTCCCTTTAAACAAAAGAAAGAAAGAAACTTACTCGCAGTTCAAGGTCATGAGTCAACAACTCCGACACACCGGGCAGTGGGAATCCTGCTTCTAAGGCTATGCCAAGGCCCAGAGTACCAGGCGGCATGTTCTCTCCCCACGTAGCCCCTGTGGGGGTCTCCTATGGCTAACACAAGACCTTGCTGGCTTGCCACGTTCCAGGCATACATCTAGGAAAAGGAGCTCTTTTGTGCCACAAGGTAGCTAGCTGAGGTAGGACTGGAGTCCCTGGTGTGAGGCTCAGCACCAAGCTGGGACCTGCCCCACCAAAGCTGCTGAGTGCAGGCAGCGAAACGTCCTCATCCCTGAGCCCATGAGATCAGAGAGACACAGGTTGTGGGGACAAGACTCTGCAGGACTTCTGTGTCTACTTGGGTCCATGACCATTGCAGAGCTGCTCCTGTAACCTCTGTGTGGGGGCCTGAGGGCGTGAACCATCCTCTGTGGTGGTCCTGAGCCAATGGATGGGAGGGGACAAGAAACAGGGGCCCTACTAACATTCCCTCTACCGGGCCCCACTGGGCAGACTGAAGGCCAGGGGAGGGCCAGGGTTGGGGCGGGCCTAGAAAGTGTCCACAGCCCTGCCTTCTGGTAAGCCAGTGAGACCAGCCAGCTCTAGCCAGTGATAACAGCTGACCTGTCCATCAGCCTGATTCCCAGAGGTTACCAGCACATTGGCTTTTTCCTAAATTCCATGGAATTTGCTTCTTTATATACAGCCTCATCAGCTGATTTAGCCCCTTATGTTTTCGGGGAAGAAAGACAGTGATGCGTGAACATAGAAATGCCTCCAAACTCAAGCCTGGGTGGGTTTTTTAAATATATAAGTAATTTCTCTTTTCATTTCTAATCTTAAAAGCCTTTATTGCTGAAGCTATAATTTGTCTGTCAGATCTAATGTCAAACAACTGCATATTTTTTTAAAATAAGAAACCCGAATTTTGAAACTAAATCTTTGAAACTTGCTATGTGAGAGTCATGTTCCTGACAGCACCACGTGGGCTTGGATTTGGGTCACTTTTAATTTTGCCCCTAGGGATTTTACATCTCTGAAGCCCAATTGATTTCACACTCCTAAATGACAGACAGCTGGCTCCAGGCGGGAACAGGAGGCTCTGCGTGATGGCGTCAACACAAGTCAGAACTCCACTTTAGAAAAAAAAAAAGAACTTTCCTTTTCTCCTGTTCTCTGTTTGAAACCTTGCCCAGCATTATAATAAGATCCACCGTGCAATGCCTTGAGATCTAGCTCATTAAAGTCCCTTGATTTTCCCTGCTATTGTTTGACGTGACAACCTGGCCTCTCCCAGGGTTGAGTAATTATGGGGAGATTCCCCTCCATGAAGAACACGTCTTACCAGCCAGAGGGATGGGCCACTGGTATTTTTAGACTTCATTAGTGCCCTGATTTAAAATTTCACATTTTATTTCTTGTAATTATCTTCCGATCGACTGAGCTAAAGTTTCAGTTGGGGCCCTATTAGTCTACCTTTCCAAAAAGGGCGTTGGGACTTTAATTTAAAACTTAACCAGTTGAAAAATAAAGGTGGCATGGAAATGCTTTTTGATTTGCAGTAGGTCAAGCGATTGTCTCTCTTCTGTGACTAGAGAAGCCAGCTTGTGTGCAGTTCCCTTTAATGAGTGTTATTTAAATGCATTGAGCACATATAGATTTTCTTAAGAAACTTACAAGACAAATCTTTCTTTCTCTAAGAACAATTTGGGGGTGGGAGCAAGCTGTGGGTTTTTTTTTAGATGATATATCGAAAGCTAATTAAAAATAGATTTCATGTGTGCAAAGTGATAAGGGAGGAAAAAAGAATTAGTTCCATCTGAATCCTGTTATGAAGTACCTAAGATATTTGTCTCGTCGTTGGATTGGAACCACTGAGCTAATTCGTGGGGAGAGGTGTGGCCAAGCTCAGGCCTCAGTGAGACCTGAAGTCAATGCCACTGCCCCTGGGACCCCGTGAACCCAGCTGTGCATGCCTGATGACAGAGCACAGGCTACGGATGTAGCTGTTTCTACCCCTGCCTTCTTTGGCAAACAGTTTTTGGTGGCTCAGAGGATGCATGGAGACCTTTTAAAGCCCCAGGCTCCAGGCCTGGTGGTGAGTTGCAGAAAGGCTATTTATTGTGTCTTCACCTGCGCGACTGGGAGTGAGAAGCCAGGCTGCACCTGCTCTCACCTGCTCCTAGACCAGAAAGCAAAGCCCATGTCAACCTGAGCGGGGAAAGGTGTCTCTTCTGACTTTATATTTTGCAGGCCTAGGGTAAGGGGCCCTGAGGATCCAACTATAGGGCTTAGCCTCCCTGCTGGGAGGCCGTACTGGGAGAGAGGGATGGTTCAGCCCCTTCCTTTCGTTCCGCAGCTCCTCCCTTCCCATTCCAGCACTAGACCTCCACCCCACGGTGCGCCGTTCATCCTCACAGCCGCATTCGCCCCAGTCTCCACAAGTAACAATGATGAGATCTTGTGAAAATACTTTGGGGCACAGGGAAAAGCTATGTGACTGGGACAAGCCTCCTTACTTCTCTGAGCCTCTCTTTCCTCATCTCTAAAATGAGCGACAGTACCACCCTCACAGGGCCTCAGGGAGGACTGAATGAGATCATGGACGTGACCGTACATAGCACTATGCCTGCTTACCACCAAAAGCAGCTCTGGCTGTTGCCTCTGGCCTAGGGTCTAGAATTCAGCAGGGAAGAGGCAGAAGGCCAGGCCCTCGCCAGCGCAGAGGAGATGGAAGAAGCCCACACTTGTTGATAGGGCTGGCAATCCCCAACAGAGCCATTTAACTTCAGTATGGGGACCCCTTCCCTAAAAGGGGGGTTGGATGCATCCCTTTTCTGGCAGGACAACTCGATGGGATGGCTCTCCCTGGCATGGAGCCTGGCACGCCTCTCATCTCTCCTTGCCCCACACGCTGACATGCCCAGGGCACACTGTTCCTTCTGCAGCCTCCATAAATATTTCTGGAAGAAGCTGGGAAAGCATGATAAAGCTGTTCGCCCACACTCAGGCCAGAGGCATGGAACGTTATCCAGACTGAAGCTGTCTTCCCACAGACCTATTGTTCCCGTGTCTGGGCCTCAGAAATGCCAACATGAATTTGTCCATGGTTCGGACTCAAGGCCTGCGGTCATCTATGGCCAGTCCTTTGTCCACCTCTAGTGCTAACTCTGAAAACTCAATTGATTCTGGTTTCTACATATCTCTGCTCTCTGTCCCCCCACCCCTACCCCACCCACCATCAGGCCACCATCATCTCTGGCCTGCTTGCTGGCCTCCCAGCCCACACTGCATTC